TACAGGCTCTTCACATTCTAAGTTTCAGAATACACCTCCCAGTGGTTATGGGATGCTTAAGACATAGCCAGAAGAACTGCATGAGTGTTGCAGGCACACATGGGTGATGTGGCAAAGCAGGACATACATTGTCAGCTTGGTGCCTGGGGAAACCATCGCCTGAGTCTAGAAGCCAGAGGGTGGAAAGAACCCACTGTGCACTTCAGTAGCCCAGTGGCCCACCGTGAACTTCAGGGCTTTATCCCCATTATCCAGTGGGCACAGCATCATATTCTAGCTGCTATAGGCTGAATTATGCCCTTCCCCCCCAAAAAAAAATTTTTTTATTTTTGTATTTTCAAGTCCTAACTCTCAGTACCTCTGAATGAGACTATATTTGGAGATAGGGTCTTTATAGAGGTGATTGTGGTTAAATCAGGTCACTAGGGTGGGCCCTAATCCAATATGACTGGTGTCCTTATAAGAAGGGATTAGGACACAGACACAGAGGAGAGACCATGTGAGGACACAGGGAGAAGACGGCCATCTACAAGCCATGAAGCGAGGCCTCAGGAGACCCCAACCCTGCTGAGACCTTGATCTCAGACTTCCAGCCTCCAGAATTGTGAGAAAACAAATGCCCGTTGTTGAAGCCGCCCAGTCTGTAGTACTTGGCTACGGCAGTCCCTAGCAGACTAGCACACCTCCTAATCATGATACTTGCCCATATTGAAGCCCAGCTGCCACCTTTCTGCCCACTCAGAACCTGCAATTGATCCTCAGCCTCCACATTTCATTCAAAAACTAAGATAAACATCATGTCGTCTCTCATTTCAATTTTTCTTCCAGTCTGATCTTCAATTAGCACATTCTGTGCTTTCTAATTCTCTAATTGCCTGAGCCACTATTATATATGCTGTCCTGGCCACCGTTCATTAGCATATGTCTTGTCCTCCAGGCTCCTTCTTGAGGGAAAGACACCTGAGTCCATCTCTCTCTTGTACTCACATCACCCAGCACAGCACTCAGCTGGAATCTCTGAGCAGGAAAGCCTATGCTTGCAGGGGTAATCATTGGTTCTTTGTCTTGAAATTGTAGTTGCCTAACTCTTCGTTTAAAATGTAGCTCTAACTGATCACTAAAATTCAGCTTTCCCTCAATAGCCCCAACACCCATCGATTTTTAGAAGTAAAGTTATGGAGAAACTTGGGTGTCTATTTTAAATATCTCTTTGTGATCCGATTTAAGGTGTTTTAAAATGTGAAGAGGGTTTGACCTCTTTCAAAAGAAGCAGCAGTTTCTCTGGCTGGGACCCTGCTAGTGTGGTTACTAAGGAGACCAATTGGCTGTCGGTGCCATAATTAATCAGTAAATTTTGAGCAGCCAAACACCTGATGGTGAGAGGCTCTTCTCCTTTGAGAGGGGAAAGTGGCTGGGGAGTGGGTCGGGGGGGTGGGTGTTCCCGGAGACCAACGTGGCAGCCCGGCTAAGGATGCCTTCTTCCCCTGGTACTTCCTCTACTGAAATGTCTGGTGGCTCTTTTAAGAGCTTCTAAATCTGCCTCCTAATTTGCCTGTCAAAACTGAGTGGCGTCTAATCCTTTCAGCCACCCTGGCATGGGCAGAAGTGAACTTGCGCTAGAAATAAGGCTGTGTGACGTTTCCTCCTCAACGATTTTAATAAACTGTCATCCAGAAGAACAGGGCAGCTTGCTGCCTGGTGACCAGTTACGACGCCTGAGGGAGGCCCATGAACCTTAAGGCACCATGATTCAGCGGCAAAGCCCCAAGGAAAAAGCCTTGAAGTGATTGTGAGGACCGCACAACTTGCATCTTTTCTAGTCCTCTCTTGCTCTTCCGAGAGGCGAGGTTCTTATACCACCACATGCCAGTGGTTGTACACTCCTTCCTGAGGTTCCCTCCTGCCCTTTTCCTGGTACACATTACGGAAGATGGCCTACCACTATACACAGCCTCATTCAACCCAAAGAGAACGTCCAGGTCACTGGGTTCAACTCTTTCATTTGGTAAATAAGGAAAGAAAAATTCAGAGAAGTGCTTTTCACACTTGCTTTCTCTTTCCCTCAAAGGCAAGGGAAGAAAGGAACTTGGGGGTCCAACACCTTGGAAATGACGAGGTGCTCAAAGGAAGGTATATCATTTCAGGAGATTTTCTATGGCATGTGAGGGAAAATCCAAAGAAGTGGCTTCATTAAACAAAACATGGTAGATTCAAGGTATCAACGGCTCCAGTGAACAGCGTCTGTCTAGCCCCCCTCTGTCCTGTGACTTTGTAGTCTCTGCCCAACCTGGCTCTGGACTGGCCCTGTGACTGCCTTTAGCCAATAAATGCAGCCAAAGCAGTGGAGTGCCAGCTCCAAGGTCAGGCCTCAGGGATTCTGCACACTTCTGCTTGTTCCCATGTTTGATTATACTTGCTTGTGCTTGCATTTCAGCCTTGCTATGAGACCATGCCAGACCTGAAGGGATAGGAGAGACACATAAAGGTTAAGACGCATGAAGGAGAACCAAAGGGTCCCCAGCTAAGTGACGGCCAACCTTTTGAAGCCACTGTCAGCTGACTACGATTCAGCCAAACAGACCAGAAGAACTGCCCTACTGACCCCAGCAAAAGTGTCCAATTTGCAGTATGACAAGCCAAATAAATAGTTTGTTGTTTAATCCTCTGAATTGGTGTGGCTTGTTACACAGCAACAACTAACTCAACCCTGACTGATATTTGAAATAAATATTTGAGGTTTTTCTCTTAAAAAATGTTGGAGGCTCAAACTCCATGATTGGTATGGCAGCATCATAGTCACCAGGGACCCAGAATTCTTCTATCTTTGTGTTCCATCATCCTTAGTCCATGGCTTTCATCCTCAAAGTTGTCTCATGATCCAAGATAACTGCTAAAGTTCCAGCCATCACATTTGTGTTCCAGGCAGGAAAGAAGGAGGGCAAACAAGAGGGCTCTTTCAAACACTTTCCTGGGCCTGCCGAGTGGCGTGTTAGTTAAGAGCTGTCTTGGGACGCCAGAGGGCCCCAGTTTGGATCCCACATATAAGGGCCAGTGACACTGCCCTCCACAGCTAAGATGCTGAACAACAGCTCAACCTGGAGCTGGGCTGCCGGGCAACAGCGTAGGCTGCAGCCCCTGCTGCAGTGGGTTGCCATGGGCTACTGTGTGAGGCCAGCAGCCGCCGCCGTGAGCGGCCATCCAGAAGCCAGCGACTGATCTGCCTCGTCCAGGAAGAGCGCAATGATGGTGCCAACTTGGGCCAGTGAAGCAACGTCCTCCACAACTAGACTGAAGAACAGAACGAACAGCAACTTGTCTGTTCCCCTTCCCCCAGTTCCCCAGCGCTGTTCCCATCCCCCAATTCCCCAATAAAAATCTTTAAAAAAAAAAAAAAAAAGCTTTCCTGGAAGTCCCACCCAATGAATAGCAGCTTGATTCTCATCAACTACCCTTGGCTGCAAGGAAGCCTAAGAAACAGCCTTGTAGCAGAGCACATTGCTACCTAGCATAAAATCAAGCGTACTGTTCAGTAAGGAAGAACAGGGGAATGGGTATTGGGTACAGGGCAATCAGCAACATCTGCCATGTCATGTGTGAAATCAAGCTCCAGGGACCCCCATATATATCAGGATGCAAAACTGATCACATGTCGGGCCGATTTCTCAGAGTTCATAGTGGTGACTTTGACCTGTAGTAACGGAGTTTAAGGTTCATGCAATAGACGTGTTAAGTGTAATATCATGAGTTTGCTGGTCTCCTGGACCCGTGTGCTGTGAATACGGATGAAGGAGATGTTTTATTCTGAGAAGTTATTGCTCTTAACCTGGGGCAGGCGATTTCTCTTTCTTCCTTTCCTTCTTTCTTTCTCTTTCTTTTCTTTCCTCCTATATATATTATTGAGATATAATTCATATAACATAAAATTCACCACTTTGAATCATACAATTCAGAGGTTTCCAGTATAATCACTATGTTGTGCAACCATCAGCACTATCTAATTCCAGAACACTCCCATCACCCCCAAAAGAACCCCTGTACCCATTAGCAGGCAGAGCAGCTGCTTTCTTTAATCCTTCTCCACCCAGTCTCAGGTCGATGCCAGAGCCTGACTTGTTCACAGGACAGGAAGCTTGGGCTCCTTGGACAACATAGGCTCAAACCCTGGGATTCTGGAATATTTATGAGTTTACTTGGGAGGGCCAAGGAGGAGGTCATGGTGTGAGTCACCTAGGGTCCCACGAGGACGCTGCAGGATCGAAACGCTCCCTGCCTGGGCTGCCTCTGAGCTACTTTCCCACAGGGAAGGGAAGGAGGCCCCACACTGAGTGATGGGGGCATCTTCGACAGCTTCAGAGACTCCAAGGCACTTGGTGGTGACACCCGGAAGAACAGCAGCAGCTTTCAAAGCACTCTGTTGTGACACAAGATGTTGGCAGATGTTGGCTTTTTAGATCCAGCTGGCATTATTTAATATTGAAAGGATAGAGGGGATGCTGAATTCACTTTTATTAAAGGTCTCATGTGTTCCAAATACAAACAGAATCTCATTTTTCTACTCACAGCCATCCTGGGAAGTGTCATACCCATTTTACAGAAAGAGGACCTGAGGTTCGCAATGAGAAGTACATTGCTCTGATTAACAGAGCAAGAATTTCAGATGCTTCAGTCTGAGTCTAAAGTCTCAGCGTTTTCCATTGTGCCATGCTGTGGGTACCTATGAAATGCCACCTGACATGGCCCATGGCGGGTAGAGCCACTGCCTAGAGTGACACAGTTGTTGCTGCCTGTGGGGCCGTGACAGCAGGAGGGGGCTTGGCTTAGCTTAGCTCTGGGCTTTGCGGAGCCGGTGGGAGCTTGGCATGTGCTTCCCCTCATTCCGCCCGCTTTCTTTTCTTTACTCCTCAGGCTAAAAGGTTGCTCAAGGAGACTGGGGGATTAGGGTCTGCTCGTCACAGTCACCAGGAGTCTTTTTTTCTGACTGACTTGCCAGGGTTCCCCATCAGTGTTCGCGGTGCCTCTGGAAGCAGGGGGGAAGGCTGCTGTGGGATCCTGGCTGAACAGAGTCCAGGTAAAGCAGGCTTGAGAATGAATGGACTGATGGAGAGGTTGGGATGTCACAGGTCTGTGCACAGAGCTGGGGGGGGCCGGGGGGGGGGCGGAGAACAGCCAGGAAGGATTGTAGGTTCTGCTGTTCACTTGCTTAAGGGGGTCAGCGTGTGTATGTGTCATCGAGGTGGGCAGGGAAAGGGAGGGCTGTGTGTGGGGGGGGAGGATATATATGCTGGTGTGGCTGAGATCTCAGAACCGAGCCTCACATCGGAGGGAGCCGGGCTACTGACAGCTCTCAGGTAGGCGATGCATGCGAACCCCAGCCCAAGACAAACTGCTGGGAGCCTCTGGGAGCAGGGCAGCGGGGACTCTCGCCTCAGCCTCTCTCCTTTGTCCAGTATGAATGCTGCAGGCCTCCTGTGAGATGATTTCTTCATTCATCTTATTTTCAATGCTTGGATAGAGGGGAGGGGAGGCTTGAGGTTTTTATCCTGAAGACAGATGCAGAAGAAGAAAGAGCCGAACTTGGAGATGAGAAAAAGTTTTGATTTCCCAGATGTGACCCCTACTTTGTCATTGCTGCCTGTTGAGAAAAGGTGGCTGTAGGAGTGAGGTGAGGGAAGGGGCAGGCTTGGGTGGAAAAGCTTGCCTTTCAGTGCAGCCCTGGGAAGCACCCCCCCCCAGCCCCCCGGTGAGTGATTTCTCTGTGTGGCTGACTCCCTTTCTTCCCTTCCTTCAGAGTGTGTTCAGGCTGGTTCACGGATCACTAAACTTGATTTGGATTTGGGTTTTTCATCCTGAGGTACTCCTCCCATATGCACCGAACAGAAATTGTTAGGAATGATATGGGGACAGTCAGGCATGGGGTGTTGTGCTGAACCAATAGTAGTACATGGCTGATTGCAGCCGCAGTGTGTGATTTTCACATAGATTTCTATGGAGTTGACCTTGGACTCCCAGACCTTGAGTCTCTTTGAGGTCTCTTCTCTTTCTTTGCATCTTTCTTCTCCTGCCCATCTCTCCCACCTGAAGGTCTCTGCCGGGGTCCTGTGGAATACAACAGGCAGAAGTCATCCAAACTCTCTCTCACTCTTCTTTCTCAGCCTCCTTTTCTTTCTCCTTCTTCCTTTGTGCATCTCTCTCCCTGCCTGTCTCGCTTCCCCTCCCTCCATCACACATCCTCTCCTCCCCCATCTCATTCGAAACATGGGTAAGTTCTGGGGGAATTTCAAGCAAGGCAGGATGATTCGGGAAATGGACTATTTAAAGCAAGCTGCTTTGGACTTGAATACCCTGATCCTGGGCTTCAACATCTGTGTTTCGCTGCCTCAAGCAGCCCATAATTGCTCCAATTATAACCAATAACATTGTTCATGAGACAACAAAAGATGAGCTTTCCATGGCTTTTGCCAGCAAGCCTAAACCAGAGTTTTCAACAGAGAGGGGAAAAGTAAGTGCCTGGCTTCTTATCAAAACCTCCCGAAGAAATTGCTGCTCTTTCTCAGTGCCTGTGGGCGGCTGCACGCACACTCCTTTCTCGCATTTATAAAGTGTGGCCGGGAAATATTCTGTGTGCTTCTACAGATGCTGTGATACCTTTAACAAAAAGGATGGGTGTTCCTGTGTGCTTGCCGAGTCTTCTGCAGGGTCCCTGGAACGCCTGTCCCCAACCGCCACCTTAGCCAAAGGAGCAGCTTCCACTGTTTCATCTGCTGCCCATCAAGGGCGCTATGGTGTAGCCTGGGGTCATTTTGGGGGTACGATTTGTGTGGGGGGCAGCAGCCCCTGCTTTATCAGCTGAAGGTTGAGAGTACTTAAGTCTCTAGAGAATGCTGGAGATTTTTCATTGTCAATGAAGGGAGTAATTGCAAGATTAGGCTCCAACCCGTGCTCTCTGGAGCCTGTAACAGGAGCTGTCACAAAGCCATTACATATTCAATCAATCAGGTATTTATCTTCTCCACTCCACCGGGCAGGGAAGGCAGGGGGGAAGGGGTGGGAAGGGGACTCTAGTGGATACGGCAGAGGTGATAATAACAGCCCTTTACTTTCCTACAATGATTTACATCTTAGATAGCGCTTTCACACCTATTACCCCCAGCAACAGCCCTACGAGGTGGTGTTATTATCTCCATGTTGCTGTTAAAAACTGAAGCCGAGAGGTTCAATAATTTGTTCGGGACATGGCAAAGAGAGGACTGAGTGCAGCCTTCCCGGTTCCAGCACATCCATCTACTGCTTCGGACCAGGGGTGCTTACAAACTGATGGGGTTAGGGATGGGGCAACACAAACACAGTGAAACAATTAGAGGACAATGCCAGGCTGGCTGTAATTAAGCCCTAAATTGTGTGGTCCAGACAGCAAGCGCTAGAGGGACTGCCAGAAAGGAGCGCTTGCCCCAGCGATTTGAGTCGGGGAGGGAAGGAGGTCAAGTATGGATGGGTCAAGGGGTTTGGAGAGAAAGGCGGCAGCCGGGACAAAGGCACAAAAGGAGGGCAAAGGAATTAACATTTATTGAAACCTATGATGCGCCATGCAGTGAGCTGAACTTTGTCTGTATGCTGATTTCATGCTAAGACACATATGCATGCACACACACCATACGCATGTGAGGTTTAGAGTGTTCTATGCTTTTATCACCATGGTTCAGTGAGCTTCATCCTCAGTCTCCCAGCTCCTAAAGCCAGAGAAGGAACCTTTGAAATCTACCTGTTCTGGGTCTGGGTGGAGCTACTCATCAGGTATCCTAGGAAGGGATTGGGCCCTTCTCTCAAAACAGGAGGCATCATGACAACAGTTGCAGTGGCTTGAAAGGCTGGGAACTCATTAGAAAAACTGGATTTTCTAAACACTTGTATTTAAATGCCTAAAGGTGCTCCCACAATCTAACATGAAGGTTTCCTTCTAACCACAAACTAGCTGTGTGATTTGGGGCACACCAATTTGGGGGCCAGGCCAATTTTCTGGGCATCTCCCTAGATAGGCTGTGATCATGTTCATAGCCTTGACTTTCCATGGTCTTCTGGATTTTCAAATACTGGAAGCTGCCTCAGCATTGCAGAAGCATAGTATCGCCAGCTCTGAAGGGCCTGGTGTGGCAGGTAAAGTGCAGAGCTTGCCTTGGAGGAGACTGTGAAAATGTCAGTGGATCACCACACAGCCTTCCCACCATGGCTCAGAGCCAATCTCCCCTCTTCTCACACTTGTCCTGTGCCCTTTCCCCACCCCACTCCCATTCATCCTTTCATTCACGCAGCCAAGAAATGTGTGTGGCATTTCTAAGGGGAGTCTTGCAGTGCCCAGTGCCCCCAAAACAGACCCATCAGACTGTCCTCAGCTTCCTCAGAACTCACAATGTCTCTAGATGTTGACCCGTGGTCTCCAAAGGGGTATAAGTGTCCAACAGTCCATTGGGCTTCCCAACACGGAGGCTTTATTTTTATCTTATCTTCCTTAATTTTCACATTAGTGTGTTTTATAATGTATACAACGTATAAATAAATAAATTGGGAATGCGTGCTCAAAAACTGATGGCTAGTGGTATCAAGTTAAAGAAGTTTGAAGGTTATCAGTCTAGACCCAGTGCTCTTTTGCTTATCTCTTATCTGTATTTTCTAATCTTTTGGGGGGGAAAAAACATTGATTTTATTACAAAAGTAAGTAAATGCTTTTTTAATTATTTTGACAATGTATGTGGAACTGTGGGCCAGAATCAGGAAGATCAAAGTTAAAAGTGATACCTTTCCAACTTTGTGGAGGCCCCAATTGAAAATGTGTCTATTGACCCTGCCACACCCTCTCCTGAGCCCGCTGCTGGGCTGTTCTTATGGCCTCAGTCCTGTGCTGCCTTGAAGTTGCTTCTTCATGAAGCCCTCATCTTCTCTCTCTCTTCCCTCCTTCCTTCTTGCTTCCCTTTACTGGGAGAGCTAAAATATCTGGCCACTTATAAAATCAAAAATATTAACCATCTAATCCAACTGCCTCTTTCTAGAGAAGGGGAAACTGAGGCCCAGAGAAAGAAAGGGCTTTTCTCAAGATCCCACAGGTATCGACAGAGCTGGAGCTCGAACCCAGGACTCTGGTTTTCCATATGCAGAGCTCCTGCTCGTTGACTGCTCACCAGCACCTGGCACACTTGGTGTGTGTAGGGTGGGGGACTTGCTTTGCCCTCCATCTCCTCTATGCCCTTCCAAATGGAAATTTAGAGAAGAAAGGGGACCTTTTTGAATATAAGTGTATTAGTCAGAGGAGGAAAAGAAACTAAAGAGGCCTCCCTTGGTAATAGCCGGTGAACAAGCAAAGCGTAGGCATCCTGTCTGCAATGGGTCAAAAAAATGGGGCATGTGGGAGACAAACCCCCGTGCTAGTGGGCAATGAAAAATTCCTCTATGAACTGGGCAGAGGCCACAATAAAGAGGGGGAGCCCAGAGTTCCAGACAAAAGAAGGTCCTCAGAACAAATGAGGTCCTTAGAATGAATTCACCTACACTAAGGCACACAGGTAGCTACAGACATCATTGAGAGGTCTGTCGACAGCATGAGCTCGGAAATCAGATGGGTCTGAGTCTCAGCTCTGCCACTCCAAGTTATTTCTTTTCTGCAAGCCTCAGTCTTCTCAACTGTAACATGGGGAAAACAGCACTTACCCTACAGGATGGATGCTTATAAAGTAAATAGCACAATGCCTGGCACATAGTACTCTACATGGAATAGAAATGTGATTCCCACCAAGTACAAATTAGAGACCATCCCAGTGAGATTTCACCAGAATTTACCAACCTTCCCAAAGCAGAACCAGTGTGTGGAGCCCATGGTTTCCAAGAATACACGCTTTGGAGTCAAAACACATGAGTGTAAGTTCTCTTGGCTCTGCTATTTATAAGCTGGATGTTGTTAGGCAAGTTATTTAACCTCTATGAACTTATATATTCACCTTAGAAAAGGAGGGTAATATTAACCCTAGGTGGTAGGGTTGTATATGAATATGAAAATCTTTTGTAACCTGTAACAAACAATAT